TTCTTTTGGAATTGAAGAGTGTGTCATGCTGTATTTAAATAAAGATTGCTTGTACCAAGGGCTTATTTTGCATCTTGAAAAGAAAATTGTAAAGTTTTTTTCTCCTTGCTTAATAATTGTAGCTAAACATTTTGTACATGATACAACTGTGTGCTTTTTATGAAGTCTGTCTAGCACTTGATTACTTGGGTTTTTTCTGGTGAGCATATTTGGTATAGCACAGAAGAAAAAATCCCCCACGCCTAATCTGTCATAATTAGATTTTAAATTTCATATTGAGATACTTCAAGGTAACTAAATCTTTATCTTCTCCTTTAATTAACAGAGGAGGAGCTCAGGAAGCTGAGAGAAGAAACAAACGCTGAAACGTTAAGGCAGGAGCTAGAAAAGGAACGGCAGAGGAGATTAGAACTAGAACAAAAAGTCAATGAAGTACTTAAAGCAAGGTAAGAGAAATATCTTCACTGTAAAGCTGAAAGCCACTTGAGAACTCTGACTGTCTCTGAGAAGTTCATGGTGAAGGCATGCTTCTGCCCTAAGTGCTCCTAAAATAAATTAGTAGCTCAGAGAGAGAGGTGTTTTCCTGTAAAAGTACATCATTAACACCCATGTATGTATGAGTTACTTGGCCATACATGCTGCCGTAGCTACAGAAGTGTCATGACGCTTTTCTTGCTGAGATATTCTTCATTTCACCTGTTCTGATGCCCTTCCTCTGGGATCTTGCCTATCTGGAGCTACTGAATGGCACAACCTTTGCAATGCCATTGCATATGCTTTGCCTATTCAAAACTTGTGTCTTCTCCAGACTGCCCAGTCCTTGTTAGTCCTGTTCTAGCAGCAGCAAGGACATCCCAGTACCACGGCACAGCCCTAAATGTGTTGGAAGTGAGTGGAGTTTGAGCCTGCCTTGCCACTGCAATGACGAATGGAAACATGCCTCCCCATACCCTGAAGTCCTTTCAGCCTTGAGGTCATCCATCTTGATGATGCAAAGGATCACATTTGATGTTGTCTCTCCTTAGTCTGCCTAGCTGCACAGACTTTAGGTCTTAAGACCATAGCAGTTGCTTGGTGGTCTTGTTGATCTAGGCCACTTGCATATGTAGCTGCTTGTGGTATCTTCCTTAGCAGTAGCTAAGATTACTTGACTGAGCAGCAGGATCTGTGGTTCATTGGCCAGCTGCTATCATCAGGAGATAGAGCAGGCTGAGTTGATAATCACATGCTATAAGCACTGCCAGTTACTTAGAGGTGAGAAGCAAGAGCAAACAAACAAAACCTTTTCCTTGGATAAGAGATTTCCCGATGCCATACAAACCCTTCCCAGCCTGCTGCATCCTTCTGTACTCATTCTGAGTGTGAAAATGCCTTTCTGCTTAGGCCAGCAGTCTGTGTCCACTGGTATTCTGTAACAATCAAGTCAGAGGCATTTATAGAAAACATGTGAGCCTGGTTACTTTCTGTGGTGTGTTTACCTCCTGCTCCTGTACAATCATAGAATTGTTTAGTTTGGACAAGACCTTTAAGATAATTGAGTCCAACCATTCATGCAGCACTGCCAAGTCCACCACTAAACTATGTCCCTAAGGGCCTCATCATGAAGCCATTTCCTTCATCCTGTCGTTTGTTACTTGGGAGAAGAGACCAATCCCCACCTGGCTACAACGTCCTTTTGGGTAGTTGTAGACAGCAATGAGGTCTCCCCTGAGCCTCCTTTTCTCCAGGTTAAACAACCCCAGTTCCTTCAGCCATTCCTACTAAGCATTCACAGACATCGTATATAAGGATGGCAGAAGGTACATTGTTGTCTTTCACTTCAGTCTCTATTTACAGACCTGTTATCTGTGAATTTATTTAACACTCTAGGAAGTGCTGGAGCTGTCTACCACTGAAAGCTACGAAGAAATACATTACAGACATCCCCTTTTGACTCTAAAGAAGCAGTTTATTTTCTTTTGTTTTCTAACAGATTTCTTAGTGGTTTCAAGAAATTCCTCGTATTTACAGTATTGTGAGATTTGGTGAATAACTGTTCAGCATTCAGTTTATTTGCCACCCCCGATCAGCCCTTTCTTCTCTTAATCTTCTCTCCAGACCAAAGAGTTCCAGCTTTTCTGCTGTCTCCTGAAGAGTATGCCATCCCTTTCATCAATTCAGTTGCCATTCTTTAACTGTTTTGTCTTAAGATGAAGAGGCTGAACTCATGCAGTATTCAGTGTGGGTACACCAAGGCTTTAGATGGAAGATAAATTAGGCCTTTCCTCATTCTCAGTACCCAGTATAGTGGGATTTTTGTAGGTGATGTTTCACAGGGATGGTTTCCCAAAATCACTGGTTCTCTGCAAGGTCAGTCCATGTGAAGTCTTGACCTGTGCTGGCAAGTTGCATGCTTAAGAGGGGCTCTGGAAGGTCTGTGTGGAAGACTTTGGTTCCCAAGTCAGCACCATGACCATGTAGGGGGAAGGTAGTCTGATCTGGGCTTTTTTTTTAGTGGCATTTCAGAGTTGCTTTTAGAGCTGGGATGTGGGAGTGCATTTTTATTACCTATACTGACTGGTCTGGCTGTGTGTCTAGACTGATGTTGCCTGGTTGAGTGGACAGTGGAAGAGGACAGACTTGAACCGGTTCCCATGTTTAGCTGAATACCAGCAGTACAAAGCAGTGAGTGTTGTTTCCTGCTACTGGTAGATGAAACTGATGCTTAGGGATACTTTCTTGTCTGTGACTTGCTGCCTTGAAGAAGTTGCTCAAGATACAAATTCCACGTGCTTGTCTTTAGTGCTGGCATAGGCCTTTGGGCTTTCTCCCAGGAACAGGTATGCTTGGGCTCTAGGTCATGCACAGAGAAGGGGGAGAGTGAGGATCCAGGAAGAATATGAGGATCCATCTTGCTTTGCAGGAATTTATTAATTTTCTTGTCCTGTTTTAGAGTAATGAGGGTGGCCAAGAGTCTGATCTGGCCTGCTGCAACTTGTGAGTACATGTGTTTTGCAGAGAAAAGAGATGGAAAGTCTTTGTTTATCAATATTAGTGTCAACACCTGTAGCTTGCTGGATTGTGAACAACAGTAAATCTCTGGGAATGCCATTGCTAAATTAAGGTAGAGTGATGTGACTACACAAGTACTGCATTCCCATTTAGATATCCTAAGGATTACACTAGTCATGTTAGCTTGGGTACTGCACTTGGGAATTGCCTTCAGCCAATTATCCCCTTTACCTGAGTCTTTAACTATTCTTATTTATATTTCTGCCTATTTGGGGCAGGCAGGATATGTAAAGCAACAACAAAATAAGACTGAAAATTTATCAGAAGGAGAAAAACTGGGATCTCTCTGATTTTTCTTTAACTTTCATTGTATGAAATTCTTCTTCACTGCCTATTACATTTTGGCACTTCATTGTGAACATTTTAAAATACTTTTATTAGGACTACAGGTGAAATGTTGGTTGACACAGTCAAATATGTAATAGGCCAAATTGATGCCTGATGGAAATTTAATTTTATTAAGCAAAGTAACTGCAGAAAGTTCTCTCTACTTATGTCAACAAAACAAAATTCACTCTGATTCTCAGGTAATTCTTTATACAGTTTTAAAATAGATATTCATGTGTCCCCTGGTGGGGGAAGGGAGCAGTTGTGTGGTACTTAATTGACAGCTGTGGTTAAACCACGATAGTATATAAATATATTTGCACGTACTCTTCCTTTTGCTTATAGAAGTGAACTAATGAAAACCAAACCATGATGTGGTGTAAGAAGAAAGAAATTATTTTCAAAGTTGCAATATTCAGAAGTATTTGTGAAGTAGATCAATACATGTATCAATATAAAACATGACACAAAATGTTTGGCAAGGAGAAAAATATAAGCTCACAATCTAGATTATTTTTTTCCTACTGAAAAACATGAACTTCCTTGATAGAGATGTGCACAGGGAGGAGTGGAAGAAGAGGGTTTTTAGTGGTTTTGTTTGTTGTGTGTATGTCTGAGTATTCAGAAACGTGGTGGCCTTAGTTGAAGTTTTCCACAGATGCACTTTGGGACATCCCAGCATTTGGTATGGCAGCTGAAGCTTATGACATTTTGCTAGTGGAACAATGCATGAGTAATCTGTAATAGTCTGTCTGGTCTGTTGCTGCCTTGTTTTACAAATTGTGAGCTAGAATCACACAGAAAAAAATTAACAGAAAGTTTTGCAACACCACCCAGCAGCAGACTGTGACTTATGCAGACCTCTTTATCAGTATCATTGTGAACTATTTTTACATGGACCAAATAGGCAATGCTTCTGCATAAGACACTATTCCTCCATTGTGGATGAGAATGGCAAAGGCTTCTGAAGTGTTTTGGTGTGTTTTAATGCAAAGGATATGCAAAACTTGAAAATTATTTATCATGTTATTTTTTAACAGCTCTTCAGTTTAAGAAGCCATGCATACCTGAATGCTATGTCTTTAAACTAGGCTGTGAAAACACCTCCTTTATGCTTATTTTTGCATGTATGAGGTTGGAAGGTGATTTTAATGGAAGTGCACACGCATTCAGGTTGCTTTGAGCAGTAAGAAAGATGTAACAGCCTTGACTGACTTCCACAGCAGCTGTTGAAAGATTGATGGTAGGTTGCTTGTGAATTTGGAGTTAGCTTGTAGGAAAATTGCCTTGAATGTATCTAAGGACATCCTGGCTGTGGTCTTCAGCCAGTTGTTGGGAGCAGTCTGTTGATTCACATACATCTCAACTCACAGCTGAATTCAGGGCCTAATATGCACAAATCAAAAATGTTTATTTAAGGTAAATAGCCTTCAGTGTCAAGGCTCCTTTTTGTGTCATACTTGCAGCTACAAAAATAACACTTTGATTTCTGTGGGACAGCATTGAATGGATGCTGCATCAGTGTATGCTGGCTGGTTTTGAGTGGTCGCTGTGTACTGGGCATGAAGAGCTCTAATATTCATTAATATTCATGCTTTTCTGACCTCAGTATATTGGAAAAAATAAGAAAGGGAAACAAAAAAACACATTTGTGTTTGTCTCCTCCACTGGCTGAGGTTGCTCTTACCTGTTTTAATCAACCTATACTGTGAATGAGTGCAATCTAGTTGCATAAAAATGATCTAGCCTCAGCTTGGGGATGTGTTGGTGTTACTGGTTACACCCTTTTTCTGGGTGGAAAGTCTGTTAAAAGAGGAATTAATGCAGCTTGGTTTTTTTGGTCCAACCTGTGGTTAGGAAGTCCACATAGGAACACAGTGTTGTTCTGGGGAACATTTATGTTTTTCAGCCTTTCAACTGTTCTCTGGCATGAAGAGTGGTTCAGAAACTGTAGGAAAGATAATTTCTCTCCTTTGTCAGTGGATTTGATGTACTGGATGGTTAACATGACCTGGTTTTGGGATTGAGCTTCCCAGTAGGTGTGCAAGCCTAAACAATGAATTCTGAGCTTCCTGGCCCAGATCTGTCTGAAGTGGCTAATTTTAACCTGATTCACAGGTGCAGTAATGAGCTGTCATTAACCTGATGATTCGTAAAGGTCAGGTTCTTCATGGGGAAGGAGTAACAGGCAGATGGCAAGTAAGGCATTGCCAAAAAAAATGCAACATAAAGGCACCAGGAAGGGCCAAAGCCAACTGTTATGTGCTCCTGATGGAGCCTGGTAAGGCTGCTATCCAGAACTGCTTCTTGATGAGATTTGTTTGATTTTTTGCCCAAGGAACATGGGGAGTAATGACACTGTTCTGTTTCTGAAAATAAATCCCAGCATGTCAAAGGAAGACCCGGCCTGAAGGCTCTGACAGCTGGTGATGGTGGGTTCCCGTCTTGCCTCTGTCACATGAGTGGTTCAGGTGTGACACCACCCCAGTGCCTCCACAGGAGTGGGTTGAATAACTGGCTCCTGCCTGTGTGAACCTGCTTGTGAATGACTGCCTCCTTTCCACCTAAATGTGTCTTCAGGCCCAGTGAAATGCAGTGACAGTGACAGATCGCAGATGAAAATTCCCAGCTATATGGTGTAACCAGCTGATGTGCTGATAGAGGAGAACAGGATGCTGCTGTATAATAGTTGGTGCAAATTTGACCATGTTTATTGCTGTCTTTTGAGAGCTGGAAATGGGGGAGATCAAGGGTATGGGAGAAGGAGCAAGGAGAGGAGGAGTTTTTAGGTGAGGAACCCATGGTTTGTGTAGAAACTGGGGAAGAATGGCACAAAACCTGAAGTTAAAGTTGAGCTAGAAAAAGCAAACCAATGGAATTTCAGGTGGCTTTTAAAAGAAGAGTTGCTGCAAATATGGAAGCCATGGGCAAAAGTCCTGAAGAGGCATGAAAACAAGTGTCTTTGAGTGCAGAAACTGCTGAATTTATCTTCTGCAGGAAGCTGAATGTCCAGTTATAATTAAAAAATCAGTAAATTATTTCTAAATGTTCTTTTTAGAAATAAAAAAGGATGTGGAAAGCTCATTAAATATGGGGAATGCTTAGGACGGAATGGATGTAATTAGTTCTGTAGTTTCTCCATCATACTCATTGATGTATGATGATGTTGAGGCAGCACATGTTATTAATGGCCTTTTCCATGTGCAGACAGCACAGTGAGATCTTTTTCTAATGTCCTTTCTAGAGGAACAGCATGAGAGAGACATGTATGTCTGTCTATATTGCTGCAATCTGCCCAGTGCAGTAGGATCCGTGGTCTCTTCTGCCATGCCTGCAGGGAGAGGACTAGCAGGAATAGTCATAAACTGAGACAGGGGAGAGTCAGATTAGATGTTAGGAATTTTTTTTTCACTATTAGGGTGGTCAGGCACTGGAATAGGTTGCCCAGGGAGGTGGTGGAGTCACCATCCCTGGAAATGTTTAAGAGACATCTGGATCTGATGCTGGAGGATATGATTTAGGGTTTAGGGGTTCCAGCAGAGTGACAGGTTAATGGTTGGATTCAATGATCATGGAGTTCTCTTCCAGCATTGATGATTGCATGATCTCTCTGGCCATATTTCACTTGATTCCCTTTCTGAGGAGCAAAAGATGAAGGAAATTGTCTGATAAATGAGTGATAATGAAATTTCACAACTGACACTTTTTTTGTTTAAAGCAATAATCTTTTCAGTCATACAACTCCCTGTCAAATAAAGCTTGCTGCAGCTGGTGTTATGTTGTCAAAGTTGCTGCTTCATTAGAAAAACCTTTCTGTAGGATATCTACATGGATGGCTGAAGACTTTGGGATTGAAGCCTGAAGTATTCTCAAGACAGGCTGGCAGTTGAAGGCTTTGGATAGTGCAGATATGATTCGAAGCCTTGCACATGTGCAGAATGGCAAAAGCATTTGTGTTTTCAAAAACCTGTTCGCTTTTAATGGATGAGAATGTTATTCTTGACTCATTTTGAAAGGTGAGACCAGTGATGCCTGCTAGTTGATGTACAGTTTTAGAATGTTTTTGTCTCAGTTTTTCAGGCTGTTATTTCGGTTTTGCTTATTTTTGAAGTTAATTGGTATCTGTGCATTTCAAGAGCTTACAACATGACATTCTAAATCATTCTTGACACCTGTTCCTCTTGTGAAGTTGAGTGGTGTTTGACTCTTGTAACAATGGCAGAATTGAAGATTCATGCATTAGACTGTGACTTTGCTCTACTCCTGCTGTTATCAGCTTGGGATTTGGAATCCCTTTCAGTTTATTACTATGGGAAAATACCACGGCACTGAAGAGTTTTCCTGGCTGGCATTGCAGTGAATATGCTACACAAAGGCATAAACAATGCAACAAATTTGATCCTACCTTGTCGAGTAGTTCTAAGACAAAATTGAGCTGTCAGGAGTTTAAACAGGAAATGTCTAAACCTCCATCCACCTCTTTCCACGGGATGGCATTTCCCTGGATCCTAAGTGCAATATACAATGCATATTTTGACTCTTGTGCAAGGACGTAAGTTTGGTTTTCTCTTGTCATGGCTGTATAATCTCAGCTGTGGAAACCATGGAGGTTCTGGTGCTTCCTTTAGCTAAGCAGATTTGCCATCTGTAACATATCCCATTCTATTTTCTTTCTAGGGCAGAAGAAGCACCTGCAGCTCAGCAACCTGCAAAGCCACAGGCGCAAGCCAACGGAACAGGTAAGCTTGGCTGGATCTCTACTAGCACTTCAGTTGGATTTTTTTTTTTACCCCTTTCTTTTGATTCTTAGATCAGACCTTGCTTCTGAAGAAACTAAATATGAATGACCATTCAATTAGCTTCTTATCTCTCTGTACATGATTCTGCATTTACTTTTCGTAGTTGACTTTGCATTACCTGAGCAAGGAATTTATTGTGTATTGTAAAGCCTTTAGGTATGTAATGAAACCTGTTGTCTGACTTTGTCTTGCATGCCTTGCTGATCCCTGACTTAGCAGAAAACAGTTGTAATACATATAAAAAAATGTTCTGTTTTGTTCTCAACTGCAAAAATTATTTTATGCCATTAATTGTATTACAATCTCCTTCCTCTAAAAGAAAGATATTCTGTAGAAGGAGTAAGCTTAAGAGTCACTAATTTTTTGGTCACCTGCACTATCATCTGCATTTCTCAAGCTGCAGTTTATTATGAATTCAATAATGTAGTGATTTCTGAAAGAACTAAGGCGACAATCAGATTCTCAATCTTTCAGTACACTTAAGCTTTCTGACCCACACCTCTTGATTGAGGTTTAGGCTTTTAAATCTGTGGATTAAATTTGAAATTGCTCCTCCTGTACTCCCATAATGTCAGTTCTGTTATGTGAGCTACAGCCTGCCTTTTTTTCTTCCTGTACACTCGATTTCTTTCTCAGTATTTTCTGAAGTATTAGCATGGGGGAAAGCTACTTCATATTTTTGTTTTCAAATAGAATTGCTATCTCAGCTGTAAAACTGTCACAAGATTCCTTGCTTTTCTACATAGCCTTGTCATTCATTAAATAGTTTCATTCTATTTTCTGAGCACTGGTTGCTTTTCAGCATGAGCTTTAAAGTATCATTTTGACTGTTGTAGTTGGCTGATGAATCTTTCATGCCTGTATTTTGCTGTATCTTAATTTTATCGAGTTTTGTACTAAATTTGGTCCTGGATTAGTTGTGACCAGTGTCCTGTTTGTGACAATGCTGTATTTACCTACATTTCCAAAGAATAGTCAGTCTGTTCCTTCTAGACAACGATTTTGTGGGTTGCAGGTGATTGTTTTGTCCTCACTTGCGCTGCTTTGAGACTTTCATATTTTATATTATTTATATAAACTTTATATTATTTCCATATGCCCATATATTATGTCATGTTTTCCAGCTGAAACTGACATACAGAAAGTGTGCATTGCTTCATTATTTTGACGTATAAGACTTTGCAGGCAATGTTATGACTATATATTCCACATATAGAAATGGCATATGCAGCATATTTTCTGAAGTCTGGCTTTGGAGAAAAGAAAGTGCATGTTTTATTTAGATAGATATATGAAAACACACAGACACAATCCTTACAGACTGTAAATGGTTGGAAAGTGGTAGTAAAAATGCCTCTTGCAGAATCTTGCTTATGTTTCCACCTCCCTTTCCTGTCAAATTCACATGGCTGCAAGGTGGTTGTCCTGCTCTCTGCTCAGGAGTGTTTTGCTTTGCACTTTTCTCAAGGTGACCCCTCAGCACAACAGGAGGACTGAGATTTACGTCAGTCTTTTGTTTACAGAAGCCTCTTAACCAGAAAGTGTTTTTACTGTATTCACTAAAAATTATTGTTTGTTAGGGATGTTTTACTCTCTGTACTTCTGGTAATAAGATGTTTCCATGTACTGTCCTGAGAGCAGTGCAGGAGTCACCTTTTGTCTTATTTTACCAGCTTAATGCAGTCTGGGTTCCTGTGCAATGGCAGAAGTAAATAGGGAGTTTTCACAAAGAGTGTTGGTGAAGGACAGGAAAGCAGTGCAAAGTCTGGTTCCCAGTCAGGCCTGGTGTGTGGGGACGTGGGCAGATATTGGATAAAGATGACTTCTAGCATTATCCTGATACTTAGTTCTTTTTTATAGATAAGCGTAGTCACACAGTCTGTTCGAGACTCCAGAAGTGGTTTTGTGACAAATTCGGGGAGTATGTTGAGGACTTCAGATTTCAGCCAGAAGAGAATACAGTGGAAACAGAAGAGCCACTTAGTGCCAGAAGGTAAGTCCCTAACATTACTGTGAAAATTTTTTGGCTTCTTTACAAGCTGCTTTTGTTTTCCTCACTTTTTTTAAAAACCTTTTTACATGCATAAAATTTAATAAAACTGAAAGTTCAGAACTGTCTCAAAAGTTTTGTGAATGCTTTGGACAAAACATGAAATTTGAAGTTTATCTATTGTCTGAGGTAGAGTAAGATCTATGTTGTTTACTAGGTTCTGTCATATGCCTCTCAAAAACTGTGGACAAAGTCTTAGGCTGGAGAGTTTGTATACTTCAGTTTTTGGCCTGATGCAAGGTAGACTGCATTAGTTACTAGAAACACATTTTGTAGCAGGCAGAAATTAAGCCTTATGCACATATAGTTTATAACTGTGAGCAGTATTTCAGGGACCAAATGTACCCAACTGTGCACTAGTTACCCATTTAACAAGTTGCTTTTATTCCTTATTTTTCAGGTTGACTGAAAATATGAGAAGATTAAGTAAGTACTTAGCAAAGTTTTATTCCCTAAAAATAAAAGTAGTTCTTAGTAAACCTATTGGCAGGATTGCTGCATTTTACAGTACAGTGTTTTGAAATACTTCTGCTAGTTCATAAACAGAAAAGGTTCTGGAATCCTGAATTAGTATTTGGAGTGCAAAGTAACTTAGAGGAGCAGGGATAGAAGCTGTGATTCTGTTTAATATTGAATTACATAGGGTATCTCTCTCTGAACTGAAAATATAATGCTAATTAAAATGTATAAACATATAGTGAATGAGAATAGGGCATTTGTCCAATGGCTAAAGTAAGAGTGTTCATGCAGTGATGTCTGAGCTGCTTGTAGTTCACTTACTGGCCTATTAGCTTTTGCTTTCGAAGGAGGAGGGGTTGAATGATGCATACCCTGTGTCTTGCATTTCCTTCTTTTGGAGAGCTGATAAATTGTTTTGGAAGATGGAGGGTGCAAGATGGAAAGTTAAAGTAGTTAAGCCTTCCTGAAGTTTTGTGCATCAAAGAACTGCTAGCCTAAAAAAGAAAAGTTGATTTGTGCTCCAAATTGGTAAATTGTTGTAGGGAGGAAGGTGAAGTTGGAGTAAGGGTTGCAACCTTCATGTAAAGTCAGTTTTGTTCTCCATATTCTAATACTGGTATTTGTTCTAGTTTCATTTGGGAGAATACTTGTGACTTGTTCTCAGTGGTGTATGTGCATTGCCTTCAGAATACCTTTTAGAAAAGCAGTATTAAGCTTAGAGTGGTTCTTAACTTCCACTGGGTGCGTGACAAAATCTAGATCCCTGTTGTCCAAGGTGCCTGGTGATCACTCTGAGCTCTCCAGTACCTTGTTGCCACCAATTGTTTCCAAGCGTTGATCTTACCTATGGATTGGGTTTAGGGTGCTGGAGCAGAGCAGATGGAAGCAGTGCTTGAGTCCATGACCTCTTTCAATGCCTTGGGCGTGCCCTTCTGCTTACTTCATCTGCTGCGTTTGTTGTGCCACTGATGCTTAAGGAAATCTAGTCCCAGTTGTTTTATTACTTTCCATAGGAAGTGTGTTGAGGATAGCTGAATTTCAAGCCAAACAAACTGGGACAGCAAGTCGCAGGCTCTGTTGAAGAAAGACTTTTAGAGTTGTGAGTTCTACTGCAAATGAGGGTTGAGAGCTTCTGGGGCACCCTGTGCAAGTGGAGTTGTCACTCTTAGCAGAGAAAACAAAACTGGTGTATTCCAACAGAGATGCAGCAGCCTTCTCCTGTTTTCTTGTGTTCCCTAGCTAGTTTGCTCAAGTAGAAAAGAGCTCAGAGGAATAGGTGAAAGGACCAGTGGGTTTCAGGGAGCTGAGGAAGAGCTCCTCTTGCTGTTGCTGGCTATATGCATGTGTGTGTGGGCCTCTCCCAGCACAAGTCAGTCTCCCGTATAGTAACAGCAAGAGCAAAGGTCTCCAGAGGTGGAGGACACTTCAGGCAGTGATGCACTCTGTTGCTTGGCTTAGAAAGAGTAAGCAGCAAAGTGCTACCAGTGAATAGAGTCCTGCAGAAACACAGCCAGGAGAGATCTGGCCTGGTTTTAAGCAGGAAGAGAAGGGCTGTGGATGTTGTCTACCTAGACTGTAGAAAAGCCTTTGACACTGTTTCCCACAGCATTCTCCTGGAGAAACTGGATGCTCATGGCTCAGACAGGCTGGGTAGAAAACTGGGTAGATGTCTGGGCCCAGAGCGTGGTGGTGAATGGTGCTACATCCAGCTGATAACTGGTCACCAGTGCTGTTCTCTGGGGCTCAGTATTGGGGCCAGTCTTGTTTGATATCAGTGATCTGGATGAGGGGACTGAGTGCTCCCTTGGTCAGTTTGCAGACAGCACCAAGTCATGTAGGAATCTTGCTCTCCTGGAGGGTAGGAGAGCTCAACAGGTCATTTAGGGACATGGTTTAGTGGTGGACTTAGCAGTTCTGGGTTAATGGTTGGACTCAATGATGACCTTGAAAGGCCTTTTCCTACTTAAATGATGCTGCGATTCTAAGTTGTTTCTTGTAATTCAGTCAGGCTAACGTGTGCTGTTTCACAGTGGGACAAACTGACCTGTGCAGAGGCAATATGAGCAGGGCTCAGAACAGACTGGTATCAGCATCCAGTGAATCCTTGTAAAGAATGCTGACTTTTTTTTTGTAATTTGACTATACTTAAGAGTTGAGACCTAACCTTTGCCTGGGATATTAATTTAGTTTTTGGTACTGCATTCCTTATCTAATTGTTCAGTTACATTGATGGGTTTAATTTTTCTTTATTTGGATAAGCCTTTTTATTATTACATGTCTTGAATGTTCCTAATAATTTTCCAGTCTGATTGTTTGTAATTTGCAAGTGAGTTAACTACTGCCAGCTAATTCTAACAGTTGTGTTTTTTCTCTGTTTCTGTTTAGAGAGAGGTGCCAAACCTGTAACTAATTTTGTGAAGAATCTTTCTGCCTTATCAGACTGGTATTCTATCTACACTTCTGCTATTGCCTTTATTGTAAGTTATCCCATTCCTTCAGGAGTAGTAAGAATTTTTAAAATGTATTATTTGTTGAAGTTCATTGAAACTACCATATCTGAGTTGGGGTTGTGGTACAGTTCAAGTCAATCAAATAGTGAAATTTCATTTAACATGAAATACCAGTAGTTGTCACTTCAGCTATATTTCAAAGCCATTTAAATTTTGCATCCTGTGCTTCTTGTAGCATAGCTTTGTAACTGTGAAAAGAACCTAGAATGATCTTGGCATTTTTGTCTCCTTTCTTGTTTCTTGTCTCCCAGTCCTGGTAACCTGATGATTACTTCAGCCTCTGCAAAGTCTCTTGTTGTCTAGGGCTGAAATGCTGATAGTGG